AGCTCCCCTACTGTCAACGTGTATACTACTGAAGACAGAGTGAACTGATTTGCGCATAGGGTTAGAAATCGTGAAACCCCGCAACAGTGTTAACAGATTAATGCGATTAGGGTTATAAAGTGTGAAACCCCGCAACTGTGAGGTAGTTAATTGTAGCTGTTATTTGTAGATTGTTAAATAAACCAATTAACCATCTCTACGGCGTCTTCGGTAACGAAACACGTTACAATATCATTGAACTACTGAACACAGTGGATGTCTGTATAGATTCGTTTGCCCTTGGTGAAGAAACTTGTACAGTTTAGTGTTTGGTACTTAGAAATGGTTAACTAACCTCATGGAGCTGAGTCCTCCTCAAGAAGCCCCCAATTGTGCAACTAGCCAAGAAATTCCCAGCATTTTATGGAACCTGAACTTTCGTTACCGTGTTCACTAGAGCCCTCCACTGGTCCCTATCCCATATCAGATCGATTCAGTCCATACCATCCCATCCTATCACTCTAAGATCCATATTAATATTGTCCACCCATCTATGTCTTAGTCTTCCTAGTGGTTCCTTTCCTTCTGGCTTTCCCACCACCTTTGCTCCCATTTGTGCCCATCTCATCTTGACTTGATAATTCTAATTGGAGAAAAGTACAAGTTATGAAGCTCCTCATTGTGCATTTTTATTCAATCTCCCGTCATTTCATCTCCCTTCACTCCAAATCTCCTCAGCACCCTGTTCTCAGACACTTGCAGTCTCTGCTGCTCCCTTAATGTCAGAAGCCACTACAGTCAGTTTTCTGCCCCTCCTTGTGAGTTGGTATGGTAATAGACTCCTACTGATGAGGCAAGTCTCTCTTATTCCAAATAGAATTAATTAGGCTATGAGTCTTAGAACATAATATTTCTCCTCCTGCCTGAATAAATTCTCCCGAAATTTGATCACTACCTGGCGATTCATACGTTTACAATTTTGCAATAGCAATTTCAATCTCAAAAGGAGTAGGCTCAGGTACTAACAGCTTAGCTGTATGCATTTCTATCTGCCTGATATCACTGACCTTATGATCATTCAATAACTGAGAAGTAGTTCTCACACCCATTCAAAATGTTGGAATCTGCAAGCAGATCAACATTTTCGTCCTACACTAAGTTATTGCTGGGTTGCTAACCTCTCCTAAATTAATTTATTCCTCTATACAGGTCTCCAGTGTTCTTGTCTTGCTGTTCATCGCAAGCTCATCGTTTTATCTTTCAGATGTTCCTTCTTTTTATTCCTCAAATGCTGCTGATGTCACATCTTGTATTGTTTAGATTATGCCCATTTAACCCGCTTGGATCCTGTAATCACTGCAGTTTGGTTTGTTTCCTTCGATCTTACAATCTTGATCATCCTTCGTCGAACCGTGGCTTATGCTTCTCATCAACATCATCACTGCCATGACAGCCCTTGGTGAGCCATGGCCTTCCTCAGGATTGCTCGCCATTCTTCTCCATTCGATGCTACATTCCTCCAGTTCTTTACACCCAAAATTCTTATGTCCTGCCACACACATTCTTCCCATCTTAATCTTGGTCTTCCCACTTTCCTATTTCCTTCTGGTTTAGTATTAAGTATTTTCTTAATCTTTCTATTCTCGCTGGCATGTATTATGTGTCCAGCCCATTCAAGCCTTTTCACCTTTATAAATCCAATAATGTCTGGTTCATTAAATAGTGTGTATAGCTCATGGTTATACCTCTTCCTCCATATTCCATTTTCTTCCACTGGACCAAAGATATATCTCAGGATCCTCCTTTCAAATATACTTAACAGTCTTCTATCCGATCTTGAAAGTGGCCAGGTCTCAGAGGCATAAGATAGCACTGATCTTATAAGTTTTGGTTTTCCTGGGTATTAGTTGGGATTTCAGGTGTTTCCTAAGGCCATGGAGACATTTATTTGCCACAAGTACACGCTTTTTTATTTCATGACTGATGTCATTTTTACAGTTTACTTCTGATCCAAGGTAAGTAAAACTACATACAACCTCAAATTTATATGAGCCAATTTCAATAAATGCAGGTCCATTAGCACAGTCTTTCTTGGTTACCGGCATGTACTTTGTTTTATTTTGGTTAATTTGTAGATTCATCTTTTTTGCTGCTCTTTCCATATTAAGAAAAGCTTCTTTCATAGATTTTTGTGTTTACCAATTATATCAATATCATCTGCAAATGCCAAAATTTGAACTGACTTATAGAATATGGTTCCCCTTGTGTTGATGCCTGCATCTCCAACTACCATCTCTATTGCTATATTGAACAAAAGGCAGGCTAGGGAATCCCCTTGTCGAACTCCATTTCTAGTTATTATAGGGCTGGACAATATTCTGAATCTTAATTTGGCATTGGGTTTTCTCATAGTGGCTCTGACTAAGGCGATTAACTTCTGTGGAATGTGCATCTCTTCCATTGCCAGAAAAAGACTATATCTATGGAGTCATAGGCTGATCAGAAGTCAATGAAAAGATGATGTGTTTCAATTTGGGATTCATTACACTTTTCAGGGACCTGGCGAATAGTGAAAATCTTATCTTTAGTTGATCTTCCTTGATGAAACCCACATTGGTAATCCCCAATTATGCCTTCCACAAGGGGAGAGAGTCTGTTAAATAGAATGTTGAAAAATATTTTATACGCTATACACAACAGACTTATTCCTCTATAGTTAGAGCATACCATGACATCGCCTTTCTTATGGATAGGACATACAATACTTAGGTTCCATTCCTCTGGGATTATTTCAGTTATCCATATCTTAACTATTAGCTGATGTAAGTGCTTAGCATATTCTGCGCCTGCAAATTTCACTAATTCTGCCGTGAAGAGATCCATTCCTGGAGCTTTATTATTTTTCAATCTTTTGATAGCTTGTTCTACTTCTTTTATGGTCAGCGGTTGCTCTTCAGCCTCAAAATTTACTTGATTCCAGACTATGGTCATACCTTCCGCTTGTTCGGAGGCATGACCATTTAACAATTCCTCAAAATATTGCGCCCATCTTTCCAGTATTGCTTCATCACTACTCAATATCGTGCCTTCTTTATCTCTAAATAATGTTCTAGGTTGAAAATCCTTTCGACCCTTGTTTAATTTTTGATAAATTGCTCTAATTTCGTTTGAACTTCTTAAATGCTCCAGTTCAATCAATTCTTGTTTATCACATTCTCTTTTCTTCTTTTTATGCAATCTTTTTTCTTTTCTTTTCGCTTCACGGTATTCTTCCATGGCCCATCGAGTATGGTTCCTTTGCTGCATTATCTTATATGCCTGTTTGTTTTTTTTTATTTGTCACTTGCTCACACACTCCATCAAACCAATTCTTATACTTTATCCTTTCCATTCGTCCTAAGACTGCACCAGCAACATTTATAATAACATCTCTGAGGTCCCTCCAGGCTTCACTATCAGAGAGACCTGCCAGGCATTCACTAATTAATCCAGTATATCTGGTTGCAACTCCTTGTTCCACCAGTTTTCCACAATTCAGTTTCTTAGCCTGGGATCCCTGTATCTTCCTTGCATTAGATATTCGACTTCTAATCTTTGATATTATTAAGTAATGATCAGAGTCAGTGTTGGCTCCCCTGTAGCTCCTGACATCCATCAAGTCTGAACAGTGTCTTACTCGTACATCTATTAGGATGTGATCAATTTGATTAAACACATTTCCAGGTTCGTTTATGTATATCCCTGTAATTAAACATTGTACTATCTACTACCATGTTTCTTGAGGAAGCAAAATTTATTAATCTCATCCCATTATCATTTGACTTGTTATGTAGGCTGTGTTTTCCAGTAACCGATCTATATACATCCTCATTCCCCACTTTAGCATTCATGTCCCCTCTGATTATTTTACAATCCCTTTTTGGACATTTGCCATATATTTCATCCGGTTCATCATAAAAGGATTCTTTCTCCTCATCACTTTTGTCTTCAGTTGAGGCATGTGCACAAATAAGGCTATAGTTAAAAGACTTTCCCTTAATTTGTAGCCTACATGTTCTGTGAGATTTTGCCTGGAAGTCTAAAATAAGATGCTACCTTTTTTATTAACAATAAAACCTGTTCCAAACATGTGACTCTTCTTCTGACAACTACAGGATACAACATGATCCCTCTCTTCCATGACTCCTTTACCCAACCACCTCAGTTCTTGTATAGCAGTGACATCTAGTTTATAGCTATCGAGTTGTTCGAGTAGCATTTTTAGTGCTCCGGCTCTGTAAACAGATAATACATTCCAAGATCCAATTCTCAAATCCTTTAAACATTTTCCAGGTCGTGGCTTACGCTTCTTCAATTCATAATAAGCTAGACTCTTTGGCTGAAATTTTGATATTCTCTCTAATAGCCTCCCAAGCTCTTAATATCCATCACATTGCTGTAAGTTTTCCAAATCTATGAACCCGTTTGAGATTGAACCTCTCCATATGAACCATGTGCATTGTTCATTTACTCACTGTCAATGTCTCTCTAACATCTGCCACAACCAGATGGTTGTCATTATCACAGTCTGTTGCCCTGAACAGTCGGACATCGAGTATACTTGAATGCCGTCTCCTGTATATCGGATTGTCCATTTGGTTGCACATCATTCCATGGGGAAATGTCCAAGTAAATCTGTGAATGTTACATTGTGACAACCTTGTACTTTTGACGGTAGGATATTTTGATAGGGCAAAATTTACTACTCAACTCCATTATCATTACTATTTTCATGCAAACTGTTATTCCCAGTTTCTGGTTTGAAAATATCTTCCCTACCTAACATAATTTTCATGTGGTATTTACTGAATTTATCAGATACACTTTCTAGTTCTTCGTAAAACCTGTCCTTCATATCAATTTTATCCTCTGTTGAAGCATGAACGTTAGAACAATGGTTACACTTTTAAATCTGAGTAATACCATTATAAAAAACTGTATTATAAACCAAGCAGGAAATGGGTAAATGACTTTGTCTCTTTGTGATTCCAGGAAAATGTCAATAAAATTCAATGAGCCATATGATCCTGTCTTACCTGTCATAGGTGAGTACTTATTTTCTGCTTATCTAGGAACACATCATTTTGCTGTTGCTAGTCTAAATAGATATCGGGCTTTTGCCATGCCTAATTAACTAACTCCATGGAACAGAGTCCTTGAGGAACCCACAAGTAATATCTGAGTTTTATGGAACCATATGGTTGGTTACGATGATCGAAAGCCACCACGAAGCCTCAGAGAATCCATTCCATATCCAAGACCCTATGTCATGAAACATTTACATATGCAATAGCTATAACTATCTTACAGCCCCTCGTAACCACTCTGGTCATCTTCATGTGACATGGCTGGAATCCAGAACAGTGGAACAGGAAGAGGTGGCCTTTACAAGAGAGCAGCGTGGTAAGCACATCTTCAGAGAAATGGCCATTGTGAGGCAGCGGCCCATTAACGGTGATGCTTCCGTTCTTCGGACCTCTCATACGTCCTGGATGCGTGATGTTGACACTTGAGGAGGTCACCGGGCGAGTGCCAGTCACCTGAACAAGATCCAGAAGTCTAACTATTAGGAGAACATGCCCTCCGAAGGTCTTGGAGTTCGTGACTTCGTGGACGATCCTCATTGAAATGTCTCCCCTTATGATCCGTCCGTGTTGTCTAGCAGATACACTGATGCTCTCAGGCTAATGACTAACACGTTTGGCGTCAACTTTGTCACAATGAGAGCCGACAAAGGAATACTGGTCGATTGTCGGCGATGGAAAGAGAAGCCTTAAACATTAGAGCACCTGCTCGAAGAATATGTGGCCAGTAAACGTATGAGGACTCAGTGTCATGACATGATGCCGGTTTGAATAGCTACTAACTGTGAAGAAAATGGGTTCAGAATTACCCGTGAGCAGTTGTTCTCTGTGCAGGAGGAGAGACTCAAACCTGACCTCATAACTGATGTGTAAAGGGCTCTCATTATCGACGTTTATGTTCGCTTTGAGAGTGGGGACTCCCTCGCGCGGGCCGCCGCTGAGAAAATTTCGAAGCATCAGATCTTTGCTGATTTCTTCGTTTCTCAGGGAACTGCTCGAGAGGCCCAGGTGTTGCCGATTGTGGTAGACTCGAGGAGCGATTCCTAAGGATACTCAAAGCCCTAAATATTCTATGGCTGGATGGCAAACGCCTGGGGGTGTACCTCCCTATATGTGGTTTTGGATCCGGCGTTCAGATCACATGCATGCACCTGGATTACACATATTCTCCTTCTAGATTTCCTCCCCCCCTGCTTTAAGGCAGGGAAGAGAGTTGCTCACCAGTAGAAATATGGGAATCCGGGGCAAATCATTAGAAATATGGGATGCCTCAGGGTCCGTACGATCCTCGCCTACATGACCTGGGTACTACACACTGAAGGACATAAACGACCAGCGGCGTATCTCCTTGGAAGAAGCCGCCTGCGCGGAATTGTCGAATACATCGTCATGTAATCAGTGACGCGCAAGAATGGATTAACGAGATTCCCACTTTCCCTATCTAATATCTAACGGAACCACTGCCAAGGGAATGGGTTTGGAAGATTCAGTGGGAGTAGGTATGACTCTCTACCGGGACCACGGTTGATATCGGCTGAACACCTAGCCGAGGCATGCATGCGTGCATTCCGCGTGGCGGCTCCTTGCGGTTCCGCTTGAAACGCATTGTCACTGACTTGCAACTAAAGGCGCTTGTGAGAGATTGAAAACCACCCTCTCCATGTGGTACCACGCGGACAACAGTGAACGCTAGCTGGCTAAGTGTGGTATTCTCGCAACCACTTCTGGATGGGATAGGAAGGGGCGGTAGCTCCCAATCGACGACTCAGTTATGAACACGGACTTGATTTGGCAACAGGTCATCTCCCGGTCCGGCTGAACAAATATAAATCATGAAAACTTATGTAAACCTAAGCCTGGGATCAGGGGAACCCCAAGCTCGAGGGACTGCAGAACCTACAGGAGAGGACACTGTTAAACGACCCGGCAAGCATCAAGGACATGATTATGGCTTGTTCATGGGCGATATAGCGTTAACGGTGACGCTTCCGTTCTTCGGACCTCTCATACGTCCAGGATGCGGGACAATGTTGACCTCTGAGGAGGTCACCTGAACAAGATCCAAGTCTTAAAGATTAAGAGAACCTCTCCTCCTAAGGTTATGGAGTACGTCACTTCAGGAACGACCCCCTTGGAAATGCCTGGCTTTATGATCTGACCGTGTTGTCCTCTAGCTGATACACAGATACTCTCAGGCTAAAAACTAACACGTTTGCTCTAATGAGAGCCGACAAAGGACTACCGGTTGATTGTCGGCAATGCAATGAGAAGCCTGAAACCTTAGGGCACGTGCTCGGGGAATGTGTGGCCGGTAAAGGTATGAGAATCCAACGTCACGACAAGATGGCGGCTGTAATACCTACTAAGTGTGAAGAAAAGGGGTACAAGATTACCCGGGAACAGTTGTTCTCTGTGTGGGAGGAGCGACTCAAACCTGACCTCATAATTGATGGGCAAAGGTCTCTCATTATGGACGTTAATGTTCGCTTTGAGAGTGGGGACTCCCTTGCGCGGGGCGCCGCTGAGAAAATTTTGAATTATCAGATCTTTGCTGATTTCTTCGTTTCTCTGGGTACTGCTCAAGAGGCCCAGGTGTTGCCGATTGTGGTAGACTCAAGAGGAGCGATTCCTAAGGATATGCTCAAAGCCCTAACCATTCTAAGGCTGGATGGCAAATGCCTGGGGATGTCCCTCGCCATGTGTGCTGTTAGCTCCAACGTTGTGAACGTATGCACGCACCTGGATTCCACATAATATCCCTCTAGATTTGTCCCCACATGCTTTAAGGCAGGGAAGAGAGTGGCTCACTCGTAGAAATATGGGAATCCGGAGCAGATCATTAGAAATATGGGATGTCTCCGGGTCCGTGCAATCCTTGCCTACATGACGGTGAAAGTAGTAAAGATGAGCAGCGACACACACACACTCACAGAGCCTGCACAGAATAATACATAAACACTGCTGAAAACAAGGAATAGCTGCTGCAGCACAAGTAGACAAGAGCAGGTATCCCTGGTATTTAAAACTTTAAAATTTTGATCTTTCAATTTTAGAAATTTTAAATTTTAAACTGGGATTCTAAAATCAAATTGACGTGTGTGTGTTGGCAAAATTTTAAACAAAACTGACAGGCTGATGTTTTATATTTTGGACTGTGTGCAGTGCGATAGCTACATAGTGAAAAATACACCTGATGAGTGCTAATTACGGCCAAAACATGTAGTGTAGAGGAAGAAAAGAGAAAGATCTACAACCAAATAAATTGTTGCATTCACGATCGCATTTGTAATATTACATATAGAACCAGGAACTTCTCGAACCACACCTTAACTGTTTTCCTATCAGGTGCATCTCCTCCATGCTCTAGTCAGTAGTTTATTTGCACTGAAACTATTGATTTTGTTTCTGCAGACCTCACTACTGTTTGTGAATGCTGCCGTTAAGTTGCCATTTTGCTTCATGCAATCGTGGAGCTGTGTACTGAACCAGAGGTCAACTTCAAAGTCATGAAATAAAATTGTTCGAGTTTTTCTTCATTCTAGTGTTAATTGTAATCCATAATTTATCACAATTTGTTCGGAATGATTAATTAAAATGCGGCAAGTTTGAATGGAACATACTGTACATACACATTATCTAACTCTTGGCATTTTTAATGTTCACTGAGTTCAATATTTTGTTCTGGAAGAGTCCTCCAGAAGAAAATATTAAAATCAATGAACATTATTATACAGTTTAACCATGATAGACAAGTACTTCATTATAGCAAGCAAACTCAAGCACTGTAAATTTCTCCTGTTACACTGAAAAGTCCTGCATAAATGGGGGGCTATCTCCAGCACCTTCATTACGAGTGACTACTAACCTGCAGCAACTTTGTTTTCAACATTTGCTGCACCAACTTCAATTGTGTAAAACAGACAACTATCCACATATGCCTACTTCATGCTAAAGCAGTATCTGAATGTATAAAGAGAAGACATGAAGATTTACATTACAATCTACATATAGTATTGTATTAAAATGTATCTTAGAGAGACAGGAAGGGGTGGCATAGACTGGATTGATCTGTCTCAGGATAAAGACCAATGTAGGACTCTTGTGAACATGGTAATTAAGCTTCAGGTTCCATAACTTGCTGGGAAATTCTTGAGGAGCTGCACAACTGGCGGTTTCTCATGAAGGGCTCATCTCCATGAAGTTGGTTGGTTAGTATACACTGTTCAATGAAGAACATGGTAATCTCGTTACAAAACACTTATGCTACAGTTTATAGAAATTTTGCACTCAGCTCAACACCTGATATAATAATGTTAGGTGCAGCCCACTGCTAGGGAATGTCGGCAAACACATCTCTGTGGAGACAGATTCTTGGAAACCAAGCCATTACAGGGCAACGTTTCTGTGGATACAGGGTACAGGTGATAAACATTTTCGTGGATACAGAAATAAAAGGTGTTTTTTGTCGGTCCAACCCAATGCAATACAACAGGAAACCCAGATCGAGTCACAGATCAGAATATATAGAGAGAAAGATGATTAGAATTAGATCAGATCAGAATTGAACAAGTCCTAGACAGTCAAGGAAGAAGGGTTCAGCTGAAGATTTGTTGTGAGTTACTGTAACATATTGTGATTATGAGTGATTGTATAAGGAGTCATCAATAAATCCAATTACCAATTCAAACCCCATCTGATTAGTCACACCCATATGTGTGACAATGACTTTTATACTGTACACACTGGCTGAATGGAAACCGTGTAATATTGTTTCAGCATCCTCTTACTCGTACACTAACTGAAGCGTTATGACAGTTGCATTAATAAGCAGCATAAACACTGAATAATCTTGTAATATTGTTTTGGCATCCTCTTACATTAAGTGAAGCATTATGACAGTTGCAGTAATAAGACAGCATAAACACTGAATGGAGATCTTGTAATATTGTTTCGGCATCCTCTTACACTAACTGAAGCGTTATGACAGTTGCATTAATAAGACAGCATAAACACTGAATAATCTTGTAATTTCACAAAATTAGACTTTTATACAATTTTAAGATATTTCACAATTTACCTTTTGGATACTGATTAAAGAATTTTAATATTGTAACGTGGATGGCTAGAGTGATACTAGGCAATGGAACAGTAAACACCCCACAACCGAATACGTACAAGGCAACAATAGAAGGATCACAATTTCTATGCAACGACCTGTAAACAACCTTCAGTTGAGTGCGTTACAACAAGAGGAGTCAAGAATGAAAGATGTTTTCTGTGTGATCAGTGTGAAGCTTATGTAACAAGCACCTGTTATAGCTTCGAAGAGATTAACAGACTAGTGCAGAGTGCTTATAAGAGAAGTGAATGAAGTCAGTTCTGAGTTCTCAGGAGACAGTCATGGAAAACAAGAAGATATACATTCAGTATAAACCTCAAGTAGTCTCATGTGTTAGTGACTAGTTAACGGGGACTGGATCGATAACTGGATTTACTGAATACTTATAACTCTTTAACTACAAGTAATTATAATGCTCTCACCAATCCACAAACTTCACAAAGGTCCTTGCTGACTGGCAACTGCCTCACAACGTCTCCCCACTGACTCAAGTGCAACTACTAATAAGCATTAAGACAAATTGGCTCACCAACCGATCAACTGGCCCTCCCTATACAACCTTGACACATACCACAGAGAAATCAGCTTCCACGGACCCTCGACTGTTGCACATATACTGGTTATCACAGAAATTTGCTTAATATTTTCTTTAAATTTCCTAAAAATCGCATTAGTTTAGTTACTAACAAAGTGTTTGCTTGCAAAGGAGATAAGTCTAAAATGACTATCAACAGGGCGATCACTTAGACTAAAGTCCATTTTCAAACAAATTACAGTTCCTCACCCTGATCAGTAAATTAAATTACTCATTTATTCATCTTAAATTAACATGTCTTCTTAGTTTCATCGAAATCCATTTTACGTCTATCAGACAAGAAATGTAGAAGAAAGCAGTCTTCTGGGATTTGGCACCGTGGCTGGGCACTAACCCGTAAGCTGGAGGGGGCGGGGGTTGTCATGTTGGTTGGTCATGGCCTGTGTGGCCTTCTGGATCTGGCGTCATATCCCGGTGGGGGTTTTTAAGAGAACAGATGAGAGGCTTCCAAGACTTGCTGAGACAACCCCCCCTCTCTGTTCATATTTTCTGGATGCAGTTCAATCTCAATTGCCTCCGTAATGATGCGATCCATATAGCGGGTCTTGGTGGCGAGGATGGAGGTATTCTGAAGCTGATTGCGGT